TGTTGTAGACTACCTGATAGTAAATGATGGCTTAAGACTTCGAATGACATGACTCAAAATCGTCTACAACGGCGCAAGTTGATCCATTCATTATGGTCCCTAGAATTCCAGTCTTCTGAATACCTCAAGACCTTCCTTTTTTCTCAAACTTAACTTACGCAATTTTACTACTTGAACAATATCTTCAAATCGTGATCTTTCACATCACTGCTCTTACTTCTACAACCTCTACTACTACTGTGGAATCTGAATCAGTCATTGCATCTCTGTGCTATCATGATATGACTACTTATACTGATGTACGTACTAACGGAGTTCTCCATTGGTGTTGACTGACTGAATGACTAATACGTTTGGTTAGCTGCTTTGACAATAAAACGAAAAGCAAACTAATCAGGACACCAGTGAATGCAAAGTCAACTTGCTCAATCATAGGTCGATAAACAAAATTTGAATGATATACACCATGAAAGCAAACAAAAGAACAATCACTGCTGAAATTTTCATAGAAACAATAAACCACAACTCAATTCGTTGATTTCAATTTGTCTGTTTATTATAGCATCTAGTCGGCAAGTATGGTGATCAAGCTTTGAACAGAAATAACAAGACACACCAGATATCTTCACTTCTGAAATCTGAAGTGAATAATATCGATATTCTACATTTCAGGAATCTGTAAAGTACAGAAATAATTACCTGCCAACCTAAGCGACATAGTTAAACATATTAAACTAAAAACGTATTCAAACTCACTTCATTAGGTAAAACATTCAATACGATTGCTAATACGGCAGTAGCAAGAAGGATACAAGCACCATAAATCAAAAATGGCCAGAAATAGTTGACCAAATCCACTTTCAACTTTATTCCAACTATAAACAGTATCACTGATAGAATGATGGCTATCATCCAACTGATAAATATGAACATTCCTTGCACGCTGATTGAAAGACACATCGTCACAGAAGCGAAGTTGACAGTCTTGAAGTAAAACCAACAAGTCTTTTAATCAGCCATATCATTTATTAGGTTTCTATGATAACAGTAGCATAAAATTCAAAAATTATCCTAACAAATTGATTGGCTGTATGGTAGAACATGTTGTTAACGTTCAGATTTAAAGTGATTGTGAATAAATCATTTGTTTAAATAAAAACTGAATGAATGTCAGAAAATCTGTATCAACTAAACTTAAAACTACATGCACATTAACATTATGCAACGCAACTTCTGATGGCGAAATTGTTCTGTCTGCTTCCATGTTTATCAAAATATTCACAGAAATGATGGAAATTCTCGACCAGTATCATATTCATGTTTTCGCAATTCATCGTCAGTGATGATTCTTTCAGTTAGTACAGATGTTTATATTTGGGATTTATAGTTGATAAAATATTCACTCAGATAATTTTAAATAAATATTCATTGATTTCCTCTGAATCGCCAAGCACAATTTTCTCAACTAAAATCACTGTTCCGATAATTGCCCGTGAGAGCGAATCAATGAACAGAAAGCTTGCGAGATCCTATGTTTCAATGATTTTCTCAACACAGGCAATAGACGTCTGCCTATAGTCAGCAATGTCAACAACTCTCACAGAATATTCACAAAGTAATCTAGTATATGCAATGACGGTCGTAAAGATATGACGCCACTTTTACATCCAGTGAAACAAAATCAATTATCATTGTTTTCAAGAAAACCATGAGAATATATACATGTATTATCATCTAATAACACTTACGAAAATTATGTAGAACAAATCCGTGAGGAATATCAAATGTGGATATTGCTGAACAACGAAAGTTACAATTAATGCAACCGTCGAAATAACACTGTAACGCGAAATGTACAGAATCAGACGAGTATTAATAGCAAAAACTCAATACAGATCAGAAAGACTGTAAAACAACTATTGACTTGCATTAACTATTCGGGAATCTCGAAAGCATCAAACAAACATGTTGCGAAAGGAAACTTAGTAATTCCCAATAAGATAGATGCAAATTTCGGTAGCATATTCAATTCTTCTTTTAATCAAACTCATTTTAAGTTCATCACTACAAACAATATTTATGTACTCCATAAATGTAAGCAAGACTTATACGGTCATTCGATTAGAGTAGTATTAGTTAAACACACCTTAATTGAAAAATAAACAATTTCAACTACTTTTACGTTCACTATAAATCGAATGCAATCTGAGATATTCAACCCAACTGACTTGAAATCTATGAACATCATAATGACTTTGTTATTCAAAAGACAACATACAAACCAGTCACTGCTAAACCATTACTCTTATGCAATCATTACTGACATTCAAAATAAACTGATAAGTACACTACACTTGTGAACAACACATCTGTTTAGAAAATGATCTAAGAGCACATCTGACGATAGTTCTTACTAGTTACAATATATTCATGATGTTTTCTTATTGTCCGCTAAACTAACAAAAGACGACTCTTTTTAAATAAGAAATACTCATTTTCGGTATTTACTACACGAATTTACAGCGATTCAAATGAAATATAATTTTCCTAACTTCCTGATTGTACTTGAAAACAAAAGCACAAAACCCAAATAAACTTTTCATATGCATTCATTTCACTTACCTAAAAATTATAGCGACCCAATCATGTTCAAAGAAAAAATCATAAGCTTCACCACTTTAGTGAGTTTAAATCATTGAACGATGAACCTACTTAGTAAACAAAAATGCAGTCATCAACAATGATAAATAGATTTGAAGAATATTGGTTAGGAACACCTTGATTGTAAAATGAAGATCTTCAACTGCTCTTACTTAAAATGAGTGTACAGCCTTTTGTTCTTGTTGTTATTATCAGTTTGCATTTCATGATGGTGAAACTGTGGGCCTAATTACAGAAGATTTTACGAAAGAGTAAAAATTATGTAAAAGTATGTAAAAGTATGAGTTAGCATTCATGAATAGTTGTTCAATTTTTTCATAAGATACAGTCTTCCTTGAAGATCACCCTCAAACTGATAAGCATATCATGAATAAAAATAATTATGAGGAAACTGAACACCTTAGAAAATACAAATAAATCACACAGTTCCAACTAAATAATCATTTTATACATGTAACATTATGGTACATCAATAAATTTGAAAAATGTTACAGTATCAAAACACCAATAGACATCAATAATGTATTTGCTTATATGATTTCAGTAGATAATCACATCACATTAAAAATCTGGTGAGAATAACAATCAGAAATGATACTGTGTTCATGTGTTTTCAGTTTCACTGTTTCTATCTAAAGATAAATAAACAGTATGAATAGAAGTACTCTAGAATTTAAGATTTATGAGAAGTGAACTGAGTACAAACTTTATGGACTGTACCAATGCCAGTCAAATAGTTCATATCTTCTGTAATAACTAACTGATAGCAACAGGATAGGATAGTTACACAAATCATGATAACAATAACATTTCACAACATTCGTAAGGTAAATATTCGCGTATCAGTCATATTGTTCCTGATTTCCAACTACAAATACGTCATTTCAGTTAAACCGATTCTGTTGTTGAAAAGAGAATAGTTTAAGTGACTTCTTAGTATTAGGCCTATAACCAATGTCTTGAAGTCACTTACTATGAAAATCCCTATACGTTTTCCCATTCGATACCTCTGGTATTCGTCACTTGAACTATTTCAGTTACAAGAGATATTGGAGTCATTCAACTGGCTAAATGTATTTATTCCTCACCATGATTATGAAAAATGTATCAATATATAAACACAAACCTTCATTTAAATCTTCGTGCAACATTAGTTGTAGCCACAAATGCTGCTTGTTGGAGATGATTAACTGAACCAAAATTATCTATTAAGGTAATGTTAGTTTAAATGATCAATGAACATTATATATACCAAATACTACAATACACTATTTTCAGTGTCATATCAAAGTTCAAACGAGATGACGTGAATAAATAATTATTACTCTCAATACTCATGTACTTCAAATCACCAAAACTATAATTCTTGATAATATGAGAAAATATTCAACTTACAGTTCACGTGATACATTTTAGTTTATATGGGAATACTTTATAAGATTACAATAGGAAATTTGTGATTTTTATTTGTAGTATATCAACTAGGCAAACGCGTATTTAAATTTTGATGGTAATCTGTTTTACTTCAATAACATGTATGTAATCCAGGATGGACATATTCAATGCTTTCATCATAACCAAGGAAATGTAAATCAATGAATGAATATCCTCAGTCGCATCACATCACACTGTCAGACACAAATATTTTGACTTGCACATGCTTATGTCCAGATAAATCTCATACTTCTGACTGAAGAACTTATGTTTACCAGTGTTGACTAGCAGAACCATTCCACAGTAAAAATAAACTTCACCTAATTATGTGAGAAAATGTTGCATAAAATTTGTTGACTTCAAGGGAATAAATGAACAAAAGTATTGTGAAACGTGTCTGGTTATATAACACTACCATCCATTCGAAACAGTAACATTATCAACTATGTCAGAAGCTAAAATTAAGTTACGCATAACCAATCACATCGGACTCTCGAAGCATCACAAACCGATTGATCAATTTGTCACTAACGTACTAGGCTTTGTTATTGACTACTTGTATTTGTCTGAAGTGTGCAAAAAGATGCACTCGTTCATAAAGTATTTGCTTAGTGACGGAAACATTTTTGTCACCAGAAACATCGTCTGATGAGTAATGTATGAAAATAGTTATTATTATCCTGACAAGAATGCCAGACAATATTTGTATCATTTGACCTGTAGTCTGTAAATGAAAACTTCTTGTTCCAGCCGTACAGCATGTTAGTGACCTGTTGGATGACGCAAAGTGGAGTTTTCGGAAAGAATATTGTTTGGGGAAATATTACACCGATAAACATTCTGTAAGGACGTTGCACCAGAAGCTAGTGTACATTACATGCTTATCAGTAACACAGTAGTTTCCATTATACTCGTCTCGTAACATACATATAGACACATTCACCCCGAAGTTCAGATATATCATACATCCGTGCCAAAAACGCACAACTTCTCATCAACGCATCCATTGGTTTACACATACGTATATGTATAGCCCACTAAGATGGCAGATACTCCTCCTTCCCATTAATTTATCTGATATCCCAAATTGTTTCTGATACGTTACATGCTTAAGCTTGAGCACTCTAGAAGATACATATAAACACAAGCACTCTATTTAAAAATCATTTTCTATTCACACACTTATACGTACATTTCTGATTTACTTGAGGCCTTCAGTTTTTATTTGATTGCAGACTCACTAACTAAAGTTCCTTTTTCGCGAGTCCTCAAATGTAAACTCTGCGTAGTCCTACCTAAATAAACCACAGAGTGTGTGGCTACAAATGCGAGGGAACAAACAGGACCTTCCTTTCGGTTATTCAAGCAGGAGAATCGAAAAACTCTTTACTAGTTACGGTGTTGAAGTGTGTCATGAAATCAATCTTCACCATCCACTCTTGTTAGCTAGCCACGCCGATTCCTTCACTCGGCTAGGCTACGATGGGTCTTCGCTCGAATTTCGCAGCAAAATATTTGTTTGCTTGGAAAATAACGATCGAATTCGCCTGATATCATATCGAAATAGTAAATTACGTATTTTTGTTGAGTATCTAAAGATAAATTAAACTCCACCTTTGATTTCTCGTTTTATTATAAAAATTACCATTATTCGAACATGTAAAGAAATATACAGTAAGAAGAGCTCCTATCCTAATTAACTCAAATATTCCTGATCGATTACTGGTTAGATTCTCCCCACAGATTTCTCAGATATTGAAACGTATGCCTAATATTGATTTCATTCAATGGAATTCGTGTAATTAAGCAACGACCGAAACTCTAATGACTTCTTATATTAGCGAGTGATTTCAGCAAATCCAACCAGTTTGAACTGCTTAGAAGACGCAGACGCAACTCTTCTCTTTATAAAAAGAAAACTTGGTGCGATTACCCCACAGTTGTTCTTAACATTGTTTAAGCCGCTAGTGCACTCATAACCTGTAGTTCACGACGTAGTTGCAGCGACTCTCTCTGGAAGGTACAAATGTCGTTGATAGAGTACAAAGATGAGCAACAAAATGTTTGATATGGTTGAAAAATAAAACTGACGAAGTCAGACTTCAGCAATCAGCTTTAGTTTCTCTGAGTTTCAGGATAATTAAAAGTCATATGATAACGGCGTACAACATATGGGGCCGTTCACATCCTTGCAACGTGTGCTTCGTACTGTTGAGCAGCATCCTGACTCTTGCAGACATTTACGCATCAACGGTTTTCGCTACTTGGTCATCATTGTTGGCATAAATCAATGTAAATTATGCGCATTTCAATTAGCCGAACTGACTCTCTACACACTGCACAGTTTGTTGTTTATTCGAAGCGTAAAACAGGTCATGAAAAATATCGAAACAGTATAGATTACTCACGTTCAAGCTAGTAGATAACAGTTATTCATATCCGTGTTCCAACACTGGTCACAACTAAAGCAGCACAATGAAAGCTAAAGCTTTCTTTTTGAGTATTATAACAATTGAGATTTCTACCCAATTCAGTCGAACAACATTGAAGAACTACAAAGGCTTTACTGCACTGATGACCTCATATTATATCATACAGTCTATTATCATCGGGTTAAAACCGGGAGTTATTGTCAGAGTTTACGAAAGTTGACACTTGCATTATATGTTTGTAGGGATTGTTGAGTTACTTTGAAGTCATGAATCGATCAATGTTGAACCATAGTCTTTTTGGCGAGCAACGTCTGGGCGCTGCAACAACGAAGTCAGACACTAACGCTGTTCGATGCTGGGTTTTTCATCTAGAGATTAAGCATTCGCATCAAGGAACTAAGCTAGTGTGTTATGTTACCTAATAAGAATGATACTAGCCGCATCAATCAAAAAATGGCCTGAGATAATTGACCAAATACACTTTCATCTTTATTCCAACTATAAACAGTATCACTGATGGAATGATGGCTACCATCCAACTGATAAATATGATTATTCCGTGCACGTCGATTGAAAGACAGATCGTCACACCAGCGAAGCTAAAAGTCTTGGAGTACAACCAACAAGTCTTTAATCAGTCAATTCAATTATCGGG